GACGTGACCGGCTGCGATTCGCGCAGTGCGCGCGCACACACAAGGAGACACCCCCCCCCCCCCCCCGTGTCGCCTCTAACAGACTGTTGGGGCAAGTGCTGTTAGCGAGCGCCTCTGAAGGCGTAGGGGGGGGAGTCAAAACCACGCCACGGCACCCTTTTGTCTCCCTGGTCGCGATGTTTACTGCACATCGCGACAGGAACTCATTTTGAGGCTGAGTCGACCAAGGGGAGGCCCAGGACTTGTTCATGAAAAAAAATCGTCGCTGGTTTTGGGCCGTGAGCGGGGAATCGGAACTCGGGTGGGCAGCTGCGTAGCGCTGAGCGTGACACTACCGCGCCCCCACTTACATACAAAGACAAAGATCCCCGTATAGCCTTAACAGACTGTAGGGGCAAGTGCTGTTAGCGAGCACCTATAAAGGCCGGCACGGCACACGAGGGGGTGGGTGGCCAACACCACGCCCGGCCGCCTTTGTCTCCCTAGCGGCGATGTTTACACATCGCACTAGGTACTCATTTTAGGCTGAGTCTACCTAGGGGAGGCCCGGGGCCGGTTCAGATAATCGTCACTGGTGTTGGCCGTGAGCGGGAATCGAACTGGGGTCGCCGGGTTCATAGCGCAGCGCGCTAACCGCTACACTATCGCTCCCCTTACATACACACACACACAGACACCCTCCCACGCTAATAACTACATATACATAAATACATGTACACACAAAACTCCCGCGCGCGCACACACACACACTGACACACACACTGACACACACACACACACACTCTGGCACACACACACACTCTGACACACACTGACACACACACACACTCTGAACCGACACTGGTGTTAGCCGTGAGCGGGAATCGAACCGGGTCGCCAGGTTCATAGCGCAGCGCGCTAACCGCTACACTACCGCTCCCCACACACACACTGACACACACAACACTGACACACACACACTGACACACACAATTGACACATATACGCACTGACACACACACACTGACACACACACACTTACACACACACTGACACACACACACATAACCGATACACACACACTGACACACACACACTGACACACACACACTGACACACACACATTGACACACATACGCCTTGACACACACACACTGACACACACACACTGACACACACACACTGACACACACACATTGACACACATACGCACTGACACACGCACACTGACACACACACACTTACACACACACTGACACACACACACATAACCGACACACACACACTGACACACACACACTGACACACACACATTGACACACATACGCATTGACACACACACACTGACACACACACACATTGACACACATACGCATTGACACACACACACTGACACACACACATACTGACACACACACATTGACACATACCACACATTGACACACACACTGACACACATACGCATTGACACACACACACTGACACACACACACACACTGACACACACACACACTGACACACACACATCGTAGTTTCCCCTCCCCTCTCCGCCACCACTGGGCGATATTCAACCCGGGGGTATTGGTGTCCAGGGTTAATGGTTGAAGGTTTAAATTACACATACACACACACATACACACACACACATACACACACACACACATACACACACATACACACGCACACGCATACACACACACGCAAACACACACACGCATACACACACACACGCATACACACACATACACACACATAAAAAAGACAAAGTCCCCCCGTGTAGCCTCTAACAGACTGTTGGGGCAAGTGTTGTTAGCGAACGCTTATGAATACCGGAACAGTACACGAGGGGGTGGGTGGCCAGCACCACGCCCGACCGCCTTTGTGTCCCTAGTGACGATGGTTTCACACTGTACCAGGTGCTCATTTTGAGGCTGAGTCGACCTAGGGGAGGCCCGGGAACGGTTCAGATAATCATCACCGGTGTTGGCCGTGAGCGGGAATCGAACCCAGGTCACCGGGTTCATAGCGCAGCGTAGCGCTAACCGCTACACTATCGCTCCCCTATACACACACACGCACGTGTATACACACACACGCACACGCGCACGTGTATACACACACACGCACACGCGCACGCATATTTATTTTAACACAGCGGCTCGTGTCGTTTTCGTTTACGAGAACTTAACCCGCGACCCGCACCCGCGCCCGAGACGAGACAATATCCACCCACGTGTGGCTTCATGATGGGCAACTTGAACGGGGCAGACAAAGCGCCTGTCAATAACACCGGGAAAATCGTCACGCCACGTCGTTTGTTTTCCAAATTTCACAGCCCCTCGGCACAATCCACTGCTGGATGAAGCCAACTCCCCCTCCCCTCCCCGAGGTCTTATTGCCATACTTCACCGCGCAGGTCAGTGCGCGGTTGGTGATATCATTCGCCACTGATGTTAGCCGTGTGCGGGTCCATAGAGTAGGGCGCTAACCACTGGGCCACCGCTCCATGTCGCTATTTGTCCGAAACAATTGGGAGTGACCGCTGAGCAATCCGCAGAAGCTTCACCCCCCCCTCTCACCCTCCTCACCCTCCTCACCCTTCTCACCCTTCACACCCTTCTCAACCTCCTCACCCTCCTCACCCTCCTCACCCTCATCACCCTTTTCAACCTCCTCACGATCCCCACCCTCCTCCTTCTCCTCTGTCCACCAGGCTCATGGACACTCCCGTTTCTTCCGTGGCAGCCCCCTGTCACCCTGCACTCACCTACCGCTCACGGCGGAACTCTCCGCTGTAGAGCGACTCACAACCTCACCACCACCATCGTCATCATCATCATCCTCGTCATCCTGTCTACACCAAGTACCAGGAGCTGCCGCTGTTACTGCTGCTACTGCTGCTTCACATTACCAGCAGCAGCGGCAGCGTTGAATCCACACCGACTATTAAGAGACACTTAAAGACACCCCCAACCCCCCACCCCATCTCTTTAACTTCTCTCGCGTGGCTTTTGAGTGACATCGAGCCCGGCTCTTCGCCCCGGGGGCTGTGACGCTCGCCGGATGTGTTCGCCGAAATATTTGCACGCGCAATGAATTGTCATTTGCTGACCCGCAACCAATCACTGGGTATCTGTGAGAAAGAAAAAAAGAGCTTCATAGCTCTTCGGATTCGTCGAGTCTAAATCAAGATTCTGATTATGAATTGTGTTATTATCGTGGTCCTCTATTGTCGTTGTCGCTGTTGTTGTTTGGCCAGATGAGGATTAAACATTTGTTCAACGTCCGCATCGCAGGGAAGGGGCCGATCTCGTCGGATATCGATAACGAAGCAGGGAGGGCAGCCTGCTTCGTGCGTGGACGGGTGACAACTCCACCAAGGGGCTTGCCAGGCGTTTGTGTCGGGGTCATGATACTGCTGCGAGGTTTGCAGTACAGCAGAAGGAGACGCAGCAATGCGCTCGGTCAGTTTGACACGTTTCATTGATTGCATCTGTCTGGGCATTGAGTCTGTCTGCGCGGAGCGTTCGGTCGATCTCCCCTCGTGTGTGTGGTGGCCTTTCTCCTGGGTTCTCCGCTTTGCTCCAACACGGAGCCCAAACGCCCAGACGCCAACCACTGGTTCAGCATCCCGATGTAGCAGGAACCTCCCAAAAACGATTCTTGAAACTCAGTGGGACTGTTCCTCGCTTAATAAAGGGCACCGTCGCTATTTTGTCAAGTCAGTGGCAGCTATAAATATTGAAGAGAGCGTATTCACCCCAATGCCACGTTTTCACACAAAAAATATATTTTTTGGTCGAAAAATATTATTGGCCAAAAACCCTCTTGGCCGGCGTGGTGAAGTATGGTTAAATACCTCCCCCCCCGGCCCAGAGACAGAGCGAGGGTGCCTTCATCCAGCAGTGGATTGAGACTGAGCTGTTCATCATAAATCACGATGGCTGGACGGCCGCTGATACATTTCTCATACGAATGTAAAATAGCTTTTTAAAAAAAACAACAACAACATTACCACTAATCATTAGAAGATCATAAAAACATACATATATATATATACTGTCGATGACATATATATAGCGACCGGCGGCAGACTATGAATGGGTTTCTCAACGTAGCGACGTGACCCATCTGTGTGGCCAGCGTGTTTCTCGAGAGGCTGTTTCGCAGCAATGAGATCATATTTCGAGAGCGAGGGGCCCGCGCAGAGGAACCACGTGATGTCGTCGATCCGTATGTGTCCAGAGCAGAGCGACAGATCGATACTGTGCATATGTTAGCCTCGGGCAGGATGGCGAAGTGTAATTGACGGCGATGTGTGTGCGTCTGTGTGTTTTACGCGCGCATGTGTGTGGGGGGGGAGCGGTAGTGTAGCGGTTAACGCGCTGCGCTACAAACCTGGCGACCCGGGTTCGACTCCCGCTCACGGCCAACACGGGTGACGATTATTTGAACCTGTCCTGGGCCTCTCCTAGGTCGAGTCAGCCTCAAATTAGTACCCTGGTACGGTGTGTGAACATCGTCACAAGGGAAACAAAGGCGGTCGGGCGTGGTGCTGGTTACCCACCCCCTTGTGTGTGCTCACTTACATCACCTGCCCCAACAGTCTGTTAAAGCCCATATGGGGGATCTTTAGTATGCCTGCGTGTGCGTCCGTGTAGATGCGTGTGCGTGTACTTACGTCTCTGAGTGTTCACGTGTGTGTGTGGGCTTGTATGTGTACACGTGCGCGTGCGTTCGTATGTACAACGCGCGTGCTTGTCGACGATGCTGTTAATGAACCCAGTATCACAGCAGATTCATCATCACGCTCTTCCCCATCACACGCCACCATCATCGTCACCATCATAATTCACCATCAACTGTGACTCGGCAAAAGGCATGCGTCGTGGTGAAGGTGATGACGGGTGGGGGGGGGGGCTTAATTGAGAGTTCACTTGAGTGTGTCCACGCGTAGCCGCGTGCGTGCGAGCGTGTGTTGTTAAACAGCTACGGATCAAGCACTCTACGCACGGACTTACCTGCATTATCAACACCAGTTGCGGCAGCAGCACCATCAGCATCATCAGCAGCAGCAGCAGCGGCAGGAGCCTTCTTCCGTCTGTGCGTCCTCCCGTCTCCGCGGCGAGCGAGCGAGAGAGAGAGGAAACGTGCGCGAGACAGAGATACACGGCGAGAGACAATCGAGATCGTAGGAGGACGCGGGGAACACACGGTGGGCCCTTTGGCACGCAGGCGTCCCGATCTTTGACGGACTGACAGGCGAGAGGAGACGGTCGGATTGACATCCGAGGTGTCGCTAGACTGATCGCGACGCGTCGCGCGCGGCCCGGGGAGCGAGGGAGGGAGGGAGGGAGTGGGAGGGAGGCTTGGGATGTGATGTGATGAGAGCGTACGCGCTTGGGGAGGGGGGGGGGGGTGGGGGGAGAGGCTACGGACTTACACGGAGGTGCGTGAACGCGTTTACACGGGGAGGAGGAGGAGAGGGAGGGACAGATACGAGAAGAGTGGAGGGCGCGGTGGAGGAGGGAGGGAGAACGAGTAACAGGAGTGCGGTGTGTGGGAAAGAGGGGGGGGGGGCTAGGAGGAGGTGGGGAGAGGGGAGACAACAGCAGCAGCAGGAGGCAGGAGGAGGAGGAGGGGGCGCGGTGAGGGGAGGGGGTGTAGGAGGAGGAGGAGGGCAGCGGCGTTTAACAGATTCACTCGGCGTGAGCGCGATCGGCACAACTCGCGAGCGAGCGGACGCGGCGTGCGATTCGCGACCGCGGGGTTTCTATCGCGCGCTCTTCCCCTACCACCCTCCCCCCCTCGGCGCGCCCCCATCACCCGTACAATCGTCGTCTCTCCTTCACGCAAAGCAGGCGCGAGCACCGCGTCTATCGCACAGCCTTCGCGCCCGTGAGATCCTTCGTAATCCCCGCCGCCGCTGTTCGCCGCTGTTCGCCGCTCACGTGGGGTCGCGTCGGGCGGCCGCGCCCGTGGGAACAGCTGTCGCGAAAGCTCTCGCGGACGCGATATCGTCCCTGAGGTTCGGTGCGCAGTGTCCGCTCCACACGCGCGCACACAGCTACAATACACACACACACGCGCATATAGCTACAATACACACGGACACGCGCTTAACGCACTCGCACACCCAACGTAACACTCGCGCACCCAGTACGACACCGGCGAAGAGAAGGAAAGGTGGCGGTGGGTTGCTGAACATTTGCTCTACCACCGCCGCATGATTGTCGAGCGTTGGTGATCCCCCCCGGCCCCGGGTTCAAGATCACATCCCATACTTATCCAGCTCATCCCAGCATCCCCCCACCCCTACCACCACCACCACCACCACCAACCCCGCCGCCAAGATCGCTGCATCTCCCACACACATCGCTCTCCCCCACCCACCCCTTCCAACGAACCCCAGATCCCCCCTTGCAAGCTCCCCTTCTTAAAGGACGCAGCGATGGAGATGTGACGGCGAACAACCGGATTGCAATTGCATCAAATTCCACCGCCGTCCAGGTACCTGTCACCGTCACTCCGACGAGTCACGTGTCGCTCTCGTGGTGACTGCCGCTCGCGCTGATGTCGCATGTGTTGCCGTGTGCGTTGCTGATTATCGCGTAGCGTGAAACGTGGCGTGGATACCCGCTTGTTTATCTACTGCTGGATGGGGGCCCTGTCCTGCCCGGTGAGCTATCGCGACTGTTATTTCAATCAGACGTCGGTCACCACGGACCCCCGACTGATTTGTTATATTTTGATTTCAGCGGTAGAAAAAATATTTAAAAAAATAATAAGCCACCCGCAAACGTGCAGTTGTAAACGGCGTCGCATGTTCCACGTGATGATATTAAGCGATCGTCGATGTCAATTCGGGCTCTCTCCCGGATTTCAATTAACGAGGGTGCCAGGTCCATTGCGCTTCGCTTCGCTGTGCGGTCATCGCCTCTGATGCACGCGGTCAACTAACAACACCGCACCGCGCTCACGACACGCAACAAAAAAATATCATCTCTTAAATATCTGCGATGGTGCTTTTTGTAGAGGTGTCGTTGTCGTCGTCGTCATCATTTCGACGACGTAAAATGATTCGTTTATTTCGAGTGAAACGAGCGGCGAGCATTTCTGAATCGTTTTTTTTCTAAACGCACGACCACGTGCGTCTGTATGCGGCGCGTGCTTCGCGTTAAGTTCAGTGGCAGGGGTTGAGACAGTTGGCTTTTCCGTCTGTTAAGTTTGGGATGCGGGCGGGCGTGGTGGGAGATATGCGAGTGATTGATTATTACTGCTTAGAATCAGCGTGCGGAGTGGTTTGATATTTTAAAATACAATTGCGTGTACGCGTGCCGAGTTACGTGTGTGTACGCGTGCGTGTGTATATCTGAACATGTTTGTGTTGACTCTGCCTCGAATGAGTACCTGGTGCGGTGTGTAAACATCGCCACTCGGGAGACAAAGGCGGTCGGGCGTGGTTTTGCGCACGCACCATCTCGTGTTGTCGTGCCGGCCTTCATAGGCGCTCGCTAACAGCACTTGTCCCAACAGTCTGCTAAGGCTACACGGAGGATCTTTGTCTTTGTTCGGCATGTGTGCTCGTGTGGGGAGCGGAATTGTCTCGGTGAGAACGCGGCGCTACGAACGCGGCGACTCGAGTTCGGTGTCCCGCTTTCGGCCACGATGTGAGAATGATCTGAACCGGTCCTGGGCCTCCCCTAGATCGACTCAGCCTCAAATAAGTATCTGATGGGGTGTGTAAACATCGCCACTGGGGAGACAAAGGCGGTGGGGCGTGGTGTTGGCTCCCCATCCCCTCGTGTGCCGTGCCGGCCTTCATAGGTGCTCGCTAACGACACTTTCCCCAAAAATCTGTTTAAGGCTATAGGGGGGATCTTTGTCTTTGTGCGTGTGTGTATTTGTGAGAGAGGAATGGAGGGTACGTGCATGTATGACAGTGTTCGTCTGTGTGCGTGTTTGTATATATATATGTGTGGGGGGGGGGGGTATGTGTGTGACAGTAAGGCAGAGAGTTGAAACACGCGTGTTTCACGGTGTGTCTACTTAAGCGTAGACGTATAAAGTATCGATGTTGTCTAGCGATGTGGTGAGAACTCAAGGGACCGACACGAGTCCCATTTACTCGCGTGACCTGGATCACTGGAAATGACACGAACAATGCAACAGCGACGGAGCGAATAGAGACGAGGGCGATAAACAACTCCGCCTTGTGACAAATCGAAAAGAGCGCACGAACATAATGCAATGCTCGGCAATAATCGGTGGTCGCGATTCAACTTTGGTCATTTGTGTACGCGTGCATGACGGAGTGCATTTATATATACGCGCGCGCGCGTGCGCGTGCACGTGCGTTTTTAAGAGAGTATGGCACCTGCTAGTGATTGCGCGCGCACGTGAGCATGTGTGCGTGTGTGTGTATGAGTCGGCGTATTAACGTGAGCGGGGTTTATATTCTTTCTGTGTTCGTGTGTCAGAGTGTCTTCACGGGTACCGTATACGGTTCGGAGCAGACGGGAGAGTGAGTGTCGATACGTTTACACATGTTGTATGTAACGGTATACCTATGTATGCATGCGTGTAAGAGTGAGTGTGTTTGTGTATGTATGTTAAGGTGTGTGTACAAGCACGTGTTCGCTGGTGGGTGTGTAAGAAGCTGTATGCGAGTGTCAGAAGGGTGTACGTACGTTACTGTGAGTCAAGCTGTACGTTTGCATGAGAGTATGAGAGTGTATATGGATGGGGAGCGGTGGTGCAGCGGTTAGCGCGCTGCGCCGAGATCAATTCCCGCTCACGACCAACACCGGTGACGATTATCTGAACCGGTTCTACGCCTCCCCTAGGTTAACTTAGCCTCAAATGAGTATCTGGTGCGGTGTGAAAACATCGCCGCTAAGGAGACAAAGGCGACCGGGCGTGGTGCTGGCCACCCACCCCCTCGTGTGCCGTTCTGGCCTTCATAGGTGCTCGCTAACAGCACTTGCCCCTACAGTCTGTTAAGGCTATACGCGGGACCTTTCTCTTTGTATATGACTATTTTGTTAGCGCATATTTATGTATGTGTGCCTGTCTGTACAAGGTGTGTAAGTGTGTGCAAGTCGGGTGCGTGCGTTTATGTACGGTTGTTTATCCGAACCGGTTCTGCGTCTCCTCTAGTTCGACTGAGCCTTAAAAATAATTCCCTCATACGGTGTCCAAAAACATCGACACTGGGGAGACAAAGGCGGCCGAGCATGGCGTATTGGCCACCGCACCCTCTTCCTCGTTGTCCGTGCCGACCATCATAAGTGCTCGCTAACAGCACTTGCCCCAACAATCTGTTGTGTGTATGCACGTGTGTGCGTATGTATGTGAGCATTTATATGTATATAAGTGTGTGTGTGCCCACGTGTGTAGCACGCGCACACGCACACGTGTAACACACACACGCACACTGAGGGTGGGTGGTAGCTACATCTCAGTAAATCCGATCAGGTACCATGGACAGCTCCATCACGGCGACGAGTTGATGAAGTTGACACCGCGTCTTGGAAGCAGCTTTTATTGAACGAAGCATCACCCACCCATCCTCTCCCCCTTTCTCCCACTTTCCTTTACATTATTTATTTTGTACATAGAACAAATATGTATTCTTTTATATATATATAAAAAAAAATCTAATTCATTAATTTTCGCAAGGATTACGCCAAGCCTTGTCTCTGGCGTTTCGCTTTAAATGCGCCGCTAATCCTCTCGGCGCCCCGGTTCCCAGCTCACCACCCTTACCTTACCCGAACACATAATCTGCTAATGTGTTTTATATAATTAAAAAAATATATAATTATATTATTATTAGTATTATACACGTGCCTCCTCCACCGTTCACACGCTGCACAAATCAAAATAATTTTTAAATGTATATACACTTACCGGCGAATTCTATTGATGTGTATTAGATAAAAAATACATATACTTAGTATGTATACATTAGATTAAGGCGTACATTAATAAGTACGTGTGTCCATGCGATAATGCTCGGCGGCGATGCTTACGGACGAATTAAAAGAAAGAAGAGGCGCATGCGGATAATCATTTAGCGCTCATTGAACGTTTGCATCAAAGACCGCTGAAGGTGTGTGATGGTGTGGGCGCGCGTGGGGAGCGGTGGCGCAACGGTCAGCGCACTTTGCGCTACAAACCACGGCCGCCCAAGTTCGATTCCCGCTCGCGGCCACCAACACCAATGACGGTTATCTTGCACCGGTGCTGGGCTTCTCCTAGGTCGACTCAGCCTCACATGAGTATCTGGTGCGATGTGTAAACATCGGCATGAGGGAGATAAAGGCGGCCGGGCGTGATGCCTTCGTGTGCCGAGGCCGGCTTTCATAGGTGTTACTCGCAATGAGCACTTGCCTCAACAGTCTGTTGAGGCTATATGGGGGTCTTTGTATTTGTGCGTGCGTGATCTTGTCTGTTGTGTGATATCTACAACCAGCACTCCGCCACGAAGCCTCAATCACTGCATGTGTATATGCGTACATATGGCTCGTTACCCGAAACGTTAGCCTGGTATGGGTGTAATTATATATTCGGTTATTAGGCAGTGCTAATTATGATTTTTATTTGATTTTTGTGGCAAATTCAGCATCATATTTACGCGCACATTTGTTTACTTAACATCAACGATCATTGCATGTTCATACTACCATTGCTGGGCATCACCCATTCATGGCCGTTGTTGTTATTGTTGTTGTTGTTATTGTTGTTATTGTTATAATGAACCGGGTGAGCCCGGAGAGACGAGGAGACTTTCGAAAGGGAGACCCTGGGTTTTGCAGAACCAAATACGAGTGCAATAAATCAACACCATCAACGCGTAGTCGTAAGCATAATGACAACGACAAAGATGTAATCATGACAATCGCTCTTGATACGGGGAGGCCTCGAAAGACATCATGAACAAAAACTAAACACACATATATATAGAACCAAATCAAGGCAATTAACGTAGGCGATCAACATGGAATGTTTAAGTTGCGTACACAGAGCGCAATCAGTGCACGTGTGTGTAAAGCGCTCTCGTGACGTGGATGAATACTCACTGATATTAATTTACAGCCTTTCAGTTCATCCACTGCTGGATGAAAGTAAATCCACGATTGAGAGTGGGGTGGGGGTGGGGGCTGGGTGGATGGGTTCACAGGGCCCGGTGTGGATATCACTCGCTACTGACACGCTGCCTCCTCGACGCCTCGGCGGAGAATCGAGTTCATGCTCGCCGCGGATTCATCGCGCGCAACGCGCTAAACACTGCACCATCGCCTCCCCCCCTCCCATATGCGACTGCACGTAGAGCGTACACTTCTCATCACATCGTCCTATACACACAACACGCAACACACGCATATTACAGTGATACAAATACAAAACACAAAGCGGCTCCATTAATTTGGAAAGCTTTCGTGCATCAGCAGCTATGCGTGATGGGGGGCGGGGCGGGGGGGGGGGAGATTCCCTCACCCCCTCCCCTGCCTCCCCCGCCGTCATATCCCGACGTCCCCATCGTAGCGAAGACGAGGAGGGTGGAGGAGGAGGAGGAGGAGGAGGCGAAACAAAAGACATCGTCACGAGAGGGAATGTGCCACGGCGCGCGCGCGCCCTCGCTCCTCTCTCACGCAACACCGTCCGCCGCTCGGGAACAAATCATTATGCGACGCGCAAAAACGAAGGCGCACTTCCCCGTGAAGGATTGCATTTTGAGACAACGTTTGCTGAAATTTGTTCACTTACATTATTAACTTTGCGCGCGCCTTCCGCGTGTCGCGCCGGGTGTTTTTGCCCGTTTATGAATTCGGCTTACTGATACATTAATTTTTAGCCCGCGGTATATTTTATTCTTTGCACCTCCTGAATTTTATGCGAAAGCGCCGCCGCTTTACGGTATAATGGCGTGCTTTATTGAGGATGAAAATGTATTTAATTTAACCGCGCGCGATCCGTCTTTCGACAGGCGAGCGGACGAGCGAGCGGACGAGCGAGCGGGAGGGAGGAGGGCGAGAGGGGAGCGGAGGGGGGAGAACGAGGGAGGGAGCCAGCGGACGAAGGAACGAAAAATAAACCCGTGATTTGTTAAGTGACCCTGAGATAGACAGAGTGAAAGAGAGAGAGAGAGACGCGATCACAAAAAAACCCACGGACATCGCTTACTCCCGTCTCGCCATGGAAGCCCTCTCGGGTCACATGTCGGCCGCGGGTGGACCGGGTTGTGGGCCGCACCCGCAGGGCGCTCCCAAATCACCCGAAATGCGCCTCATGGAGCCGCACTACGGAGGCGGTCGCGGCGGAGGTCCCTCGCTCAAACCCAACCAGGTCCGCGAAGTCACCCTCTACGGAGTCCCCATCGTCTCGCTCGTCATCGACGGCCAGGAGCGCCTGTGCCTGGCGCAGATCTCCAACACGCTGCTCAAGAACTTCAGCTACAACGAGATCCACAACCGGCGCGTGGCGCTGGGCATCACCTGCGTGCAGTGCACGCCCGTGCAGCTCGAGGTGCTGAGACGCGCGGGCGCCATGCCCGTGTCGTCGCGCCGCTGCGGAATGATCACGAAGCGCGAGGCCGAGCGGCTGTGCAAGTCGTTCCTGGGCGAGTGCGCGCCGCCGCGGCTGCCCGAGAACTTCGCCTTCGACGTGTCCCACGACTGCGCCTGGGGCTGCCGCGGCAGCTTCATCCCCGCGCGCTACAACAGCTCGCGCGCCAAGTGCATCAAGTGCACCTCGTGCGGCCTCTACTTCTCGCCCAACAAGTTCATCTTCCACTCGCACCGCACGCCCGACGCCAAGTACACGCAGCCCGACGCCGCCAACTTCAACTCGTGGCGCCGACACATGCGGCTCACCGACAAGAACCACTCGGACGACCTCCTGCACGCCTGGGAGGACGTCAAGGCCATGTTCAACGGCGGCTCTCGCAAGCGCACGCTGCCGCCTTCCTCCAGGATCTCCGGCGGCGGAGGAGGAGGAGGCGGAGGAGGAGGCGGGGGAGGTGGAGGAGGAGGTGGCGGAGGCGGCGGTGGCTCGGGACGCGGCCACGGATTCGGCCTGGGTCCCATGCTGAGCCAGACCATGGCCGGGGGCCCCAAGCGCCTGCGGCCGTGCGACGAGGACGAGGCGGCCGCGCTGGGCCTGGCCGAGGGCGTGCGCAGCTACCCCGTGATCCCCGTGCCCAGCAAGACGTTCGGCAGCGTCCTGCAGAAGCTACCCGCGCCCGTCTTCCCCAGTCCCTACGGCTTCCCCGCATTCGGCCTCTGCCCCAAGAAGGACGACGCCGCCTCCGCGGCGGCAGCCGCTGCCGCCGGCGGCCGCCGCCGCCGCCGCAGCTGCCGCGGCCGTCGGGCCCCCTCCGCAGCAGCCCCCCAAATACCCAAACTTCTCGGGCATCTTCTGGCCACCCCACGGCGGCCTCAAAGACGCGGTGGTCTACCCGTCCTTCCACATGTTCTGGCCGACTCGCAACGGCGCCACCCTGAGCGCCGTGCCCGGATACCCGCAGCTGCAGCCACCGCCCGCGCTGCAGCAGCAGCAGCAGCAGCAGCTGCTATCCGAGGCGCACAAGCGGCACGGGGAGCAGCAGAGAGGCGGGGGAGACGGCTCGGAGCAGAGCGACATCAGCTTCGCGGAGAGCGAGCACTCGCGCCACGAGGACAACCGCTCCGGGGAGGAGACGCGCGCCTCCTCGCTGGGGGACGGGCACCTCTCGGCGGCGTCTCCGATGCGCAAGCAGAGCGCGCCCGGCGGCGTCGCGACCACGAGCTACCTCTCGGCCTTCCGGCCCGTGGTGAAGGACGCGGAGAGTTTCGCGAAACTTTACGGCAACCGCGACGCGTTCGGCGCTGGCGGCATCGGCTGCATCGGCGGCGCGGGGATCCTCGGCGGTGTCGGTGGCGGTGGCGGGGTGGTGGTGGTGGCGGCCGGGGGAGGAGGAGGAGGTGGAGGAGGAGGATGGCGGGATGGGGAGGCACTGCGTCTTGTCCCCGGACCTCCTGAGCGAACCGTCGTCCTACCACTCGGAGATGCTGAGCGACGGCGCGTGCAGCGAGGCGGAGAGCGAGCAAGACGTGGACGTGGAGTCTCACAAGCAGACGGAGGCGGAGGACGAGGTGGAGGAGGAGCTCCTGCCCCAAGACGACGCCGTGGAGGTGGACGAGGTGACGGCGGTCGGGGAGCGCGCGTTCCCCCACCATCACCACCACCACCATCATCATCAACAGCAGCAGCAGCATCAGCAGCATCATCATCATCAGCAGGTGCCGGAGGAGAGACGCCCAGCCACGTCGCTCCGGGTCGAGGCCAGCCCGCCAGAGCCACGCTTCCGCGCGGACCTCTCCCCCGAGAGAAGCGACCGGGTGAGTGGGCCGTGTGTGTGATGCGGGGGACTCCCCTAGGTCGGCTCGGTCATTAACGAGTACCTGGTGCTGCGCGTAAACATCGGCAGTGGGGAGATAAAGGCGGCTGGGTGTGGTGTTGGCCACATCATAGCACCTCCATAGGTGCTCGTTCGGAGCACTTGCACCAACAGTACGATAAGAGCTATACGGGGGAACTTTGTCTTTGCGTATGAGAGGGTCTATGTGCGTATGCCTCTTTATCTGTGTGTGTGTGTGCACGCGTGTGTATACGTGCGTGTGTGTGTGTAATTGTGTGTGTGTGTGCGTGTCGGCCTTTATAGGTGCTCGCTACCAGCACTTGCCCCAACAGTCTGTTCAGGCTATACGGGGAATCTTTGTCGTTGTGTGTCACAGATGTGGAGGGGCGGTAGCGTGGCGTTTAACGCGTTGCGCTACGAACCCGGCAGAGGCCCGAGTTGGGTTCCCACTCATCGCCAAAATGAGTGGCGAATATCTGAACCGATCCTTCGCCTCGCGTAGGTCGACTCAGCCTCAAACGGGACACCCGATACGATGCGTAGTAAACATCGCCACTGGGGAGACAAAGGCGGCCGGGCGTGGTTACTGGCCATCCACCCCCCCCCCCTCGTGTGCCGTTCTGGCTTTTATCGGTGCTCCTCGCGAACGGCGCTTACCTGCCCCAGGTATCTTGTTGAAGGCGACGTGGGAGACGTTCATCTTTGCTACAGGTGCATCCCACGCGTGTTACACTTCACATATTCGCCGCGATGGGGCGTCGGCTTGACGTGCCTTGTAAGCGCATGTGTCCACGTGTGTTGGACTTCTTTGGCACCGTACTGATCGGGATCGGGGCACCCATACCAAGTCAGTTGCTCGACGAGAGGTGAGAGAGAGAGCAACCAGTGGTGAAGTATGGTCAAACAAGTTTGCGCGACTCGTTCGCGCACAGCATTTCATTGATTAACTATTCCTCACGGATGATGATGATGTTGACGATGTGTGTTTATCATTTTTCGTGCATAGCGCCGACCAAACGTTAAATATCGCGTCTTGCATCAGTCCGCGTATACGTGCATGCATCCGCACGCAGTTACAGATACGCGAACGTTGACGCGTGCAAGTTGTTTGCCGTGCGTTGAGGTTGTACGCTACACCCGTGCAAGAGTTTAAATGTCTCGCGTAATATTTGCCTGACTACCCCCCTGTGCCGGATTATCCTAGCAGCAAAAGTAGCAACACATGTAGCTACGACATGTGTAGTAGCTACGACATGTGTAGTAGCTACATGTGTAGTAGCTACATGTGTAGTGGTAGCTACGACATGTGTAGTAGCTACATGTATAGTAGCTACATGTGTAGTGGTAGCTACGACATGTGTAGTAGCTACATGTGTAGTAGCTACATGTGTAGTGGTAGCTACGACATGTGTAGTAGCTACATGTGTAGTAGCTACATGTGTAGTGGTAGCTACGACATGTGTAGTAGCTACATGGGTAGTAGCTACATGTGTAGTAGCTACCTGTGTAGTAGCTACATGTGTAGTGGTAGCTACGACATGTGTAGTAGCTACATGTGTAGTAGCTACATGTGTAGTGGTAGCTACGACATGTGTAGTAGCTACATGGGTAGTAGCTACATGTGTAGTAGCTACCTGTGTAGTAGCTACCTGTGTAGTAGCTACACATGTAGTAGCTACTACACGTGTAGTAGCTACGGGCCCCGCACTTTCAAGGGCCCCGCGCTAAATGCTTTCAAGCTATCAATTCCGGTTCAGTGATTCTGCACTTGCTCTATTACTATAGTACTATAGCGCCTTCAACTTTTACGAACGACTGGGTGTTTAAGGTTAGCGATTAGTCATATTATCTGGCTGTATAGAAAATGAAAAAAAATGCAATTACTTTACTGTGCAAGTAAAAACAAAAGTGTTTTAATATGAATAAGTTTTTAAAAAATTCGGCCCCTTTATAGCAACATATGCTACAGGCCCCGCACTAGCTGAATCCACTCCACCAATCCGCCACACCCCCCGCGCCCCCCCCCTCGGACCCCGACACCGGTGTGGGCTTGGAAGGGGGTGGGGGGGGTGGGGTAAACATTTTTCCGGAGCCAAGCCCCGGACAGCTCAGGGGGGTAAATTGTCGCGAGGCATCCGCCCGGCCTTCATAGGCGCTCGCTAACAGCACTTGCCCCAAGCAGTCTTCGAAGGCTATAACGGAGGGGGGTGGGGGGCGACTTTGTCTTTGTCGTGACAAGTTGTCCGTCGTCTCCACGTGGGTGATCTCGCGACGCGTCTGTGCGTGCGCGTCGTCGCCACAACGCGGATTCTAGCGCCGCGTGTATGAAGCTGTCACGCGCGTTACTTGCTCGCCGCGTGAACCCGGCGCGTGTCGCCCTCGCTGCGGGTACGGGGGGAGTGGGATTTGGAAGTGTGGGGGGGGGGGGGGGGAATTCGTGGCTAGCAGCTTTCATTGACTTTCTATCGGCTTTAGCGTCACACTCCACCGGAGGCGAATTACTTGGTTCACCGATGATGGACAACCCTGTATTTTTGTATTTGTGTGTGCCGCGTTTAGACACGACACTGAACTCGCGGCTGACTTGTCGCCCTGTGAGTGGAAATCAGTCAAGCCTGTGCGGCCTTGTTTGGGGGGGGGGCACAACATTCGAACTGGTTTGGGTTTTATGATAGAGATTGTTTGCATGGGTTAGATCGCGTAAATATAGAAATGTGTCGTTAAAAACCGCCACCACCCGACACAGCCAACTAGTAAGGGCTGTCACGTAAACAGAACGTGGCCAATTCGTCACTAGTACAGCACACCGGTTGTGTGTTGGAGAGCCAAGCCACAACATTTACAATCAGAGTACGACGTTTCGCCAGTAATTACAACTAGCTTCATCAGGCAACAGCCAGATTTGCGCAGAAGTCCACCTGTTTTGTTCCTTATATAGAGGCGTAGATGTGGTGACATCGGAAGTGTGGTCACCACACTTCCGATGTCTCTAGCTGTGAGTATTAACTGGACTATATTTATGCCAAATTTCACAATGTCAGGCCCTCTAAGAACATCATTACAATGTACGTCAGTCAATCAATCACAGTTGCTCGTGAGATGTTTGCGTATATCCAACGCACACGAGAGGGGGGGGGGTGGTAGTGTAGCGGTCAGCGCACTGCCCTACGGACCCGACCACCCGAGTTCGATTCCGGCTCACGGCCAACATCGGGGACGAACATCCGAAGCGCGTCTGGGGCCTGCCCTAGGTCGACTCGGCATTAAAAAAGTACCCGGTTGCCCTGCGTAAGCAAAGCCGGCCAGAACTTGGTGCTGACCTCACACCCTTCTGATGTGGCGTGCCACTCTTCATTGGGTATTTACTCATAGCCCTTGCTACGATGGACTGCTAAGGCTACACGGGGAGTCTTTGTATATACACACAGTGGGATCTATATTTATCTGGGTGTCGCTATCATCAGAGCGCTAGATAATTGTCTAAATGTTTAGTTGTGATCGACACGTCCCATTAAACTCACGAGGGTCGATAAAATCGGTACCACGTTATCGCTAGTCGTAGTTTGTTTTGACTACCGACCGCCGCGGCAATGTGAAATTTTAACCGCTGTCTCAGGCCCGTGGAAGCAGACGAGCTTCCCCTACTTTGCTCCGTTTAGTCGTAGACTCTTTGAACTTGACTAGGATTCCGTAAACATTCATCCAACAATGTTTAAGTCGGATAACTTGGTCTGGGAGGTGGAGCGGTGGCGCAGTGGTTAGCACAGTACAATTTCCGGCCACGGCCAAAATCAGTAGCTCATGATATCTCACCCCCACCCGCCCCATCTTCAGCAATCTGCAATAACCAGCATGGTGAAGTATGGTGAAACAGCGTCTATGACTGATACGACGTAGAAAGTCGATCATCTAGCAGAGGACTGGCAAACGGTCGTGAAATATAAAAATTTAACTATCATAATGTACAGTACCGTACCATACACTTGGTCTGTTTGCAGTGTTGATGAAGGCATATGGTTTTAGTGCTTAGGTACGCATTGCACACAATGTGACGGTGTAAATATACGCCATCATCACCAGCAGCATCATCGTGAGCCATGATCGATCCACTGCTGTAACTATTAACACATTTATTTTATTTGATCAGTTCAGGCTCACTGAGCAATACACATCTTTTTTCAGAAGCGACCTGGCCACAAAATGATAGCTCAACGAAGTGGCTTATCACGTGGAAATGTATAGCAGCCAAATAGTCTTAAACGCACGTGGTTTCTAAATGTGAAGGAGAAAACCCAGAGGACCAGGAGAAAAATCAACGCGACCACAAGGGGGGGGGGAGAGATGTAAACTCCAAATATACAGCAGGTGTCGGGATCGAACCCACGACCTCCCGTATACCAGGCGAGGTAGTTGACATCTCGCCGCCGTGGCGCCCTCCCTGTGTGGGGTTTCCCCAGGCCGTGGGCAGCTCTCACGGACACGCGATGCCACATATCCACATCGCTCCGTCTCCTCGGTGTGGATGTCCCCTCTTGTGCGTTGTTCCCCATTCCCTTTGGCTGCCGCCACTGCGTCGTTAATCTCGACCACCGGACATCATCACGAACGTCATCAACATCGTCGTAATCGTTTTTTGTTTGTGCTTTTTTGTTCCGGTGCAATTTATTAATTTGTTTATAATTTTCGGTTTTGTTTAGCGGTAGGGTTTTCATTTGTTTGCTAGTAGCTGTGTACGGGAATTTAGTTTTTCTATATATAATCAATGTGAAGCGTTACGGGATG